CGCGGCTGAGGCCAGGACCCTCTGTCTCACCCAGGGCTGTCAGCCTGGCCGGTGTCACGCCCATCTTGCAGATAAGGATGCTGGGGCTTGGGAAGGCAGGACTGTCCCAAGGCTGTGGCCTGCATGACCAGAGCCAGGTTTGGACAGACTCTGGCTGGGTCGGGAGGGTCATTTCCAGGGCCGTGGATGGTCCTGCTGTCTTGGAGATCCAGGCCACGCGGTGGCCACGCCTGCTGCCGTGTCGTGGGAAAGCTCAGCTCTGCCGAGTCCCTGCCTCCCTCTGCTGCTGGGCTGGGCGCCTGCTGATGCCAGCAGGCAGAGTGGTCACAGGACAGGACGTCCTGGGCTGGCGTGACGGTCGGGGGGACAGCCTCCACTGCTGTGAGGAGGAGTCCCCACGGCAGGGCGGCTGAAAGGAAGTGCACGGTGCCTTGGGAAGCGATGACGGGTGGGTGTCCAGGGCTGGTGGCTCTGTCCCGCGTGGCCCGCCCACCGGCGGGTCTGCCACACGACGTCCCACCGCCCGGGCCGGCTGCCGGCCTCAGTGGCCTTCAGCACCTCAAGCTGGGTTTTCTGTTGTTTGGGCCTCAAAGCATCTGAGCAGGTACTCGCAGCCTGCAGGGTCCTTGAGTGACTGTGAACCTCGGCTCCAAGGGTCACGAGGAAACGTGTCGGAGACGGGAGGGAAGTCACGTGACGTCGTAGATGAAAAGGCGTGTGTGGGAGTGAGGTCAGGGCAACGGCGTCGAGACGCCACACCTGTCCCCGCGTCGAGACGCCACACCTGTCCCCGTCACCGTCCTCGCCGAGGCCCCCGCAGGGCCTCCCTCTGCGAAGCGCGCGGCTGAGCGGCCATCGTCCCCAGCGTGGCTGCAGCCCTGAGGTGCCCCGCGTTTTTTTTTCGTCCCCAGCGTGGCTGCAGCCCTGAGCTGTGCCCAGACCTGGCCTGTGCCGGAGCCAGAATGAGACTAGGCGCCTGGCGGGTGGGCGCCCAGGACTCCATTCCCCTCGGGGGCTCAGGCAGGGACGACGCGCCCTCCGGCCGAGTCTGTGGGTGCTGCTGCCCCTGTCTCCCGGGTGGTGACCGTGCTCGGCCTAGGGCCCCGTCGACGTTTACCCGCCCTGCTCCCTCCATCAGCTGGCTTCATAAACACCCGAGGCTGCAGCCAGTGGTCTCAGCGGGGGGGCTGGGGAGCCCGGCAGGGCGCCCCGGCTGGGTCTCCTGACCCGCTGTCTCCCAGACCGTGGCACAGTCGGCGGGCGTCACACATTAACCCGGCAGGGCCAGGCGGCGTGTAGGGGGCTGGGCTGGGTGAGCCGAGTCCCCCCCGAAACGAGATCACGCTTGGCGGGGTTGAAATGGCGGCCAGGATGTGGCCGTGCCTTAGCGGCTGCAGACAAAGCCACCATGGCCCTGGGTGCCTGAGGGGCCCCAGTTCCATAGCGGCCGGCGCCTCTGGGCCTCGGGCCCCTCAGCTGCGGAGGGGACACAGCACGGTGCCCCCGGAAGGCAGGGTGCCGGAGCTGTGACCCACGCGTGGCTCAGAGTTCACACCGGAGGCGTCTGAGACCAGCCGCGTGACGGACGGTTGTCCATACCGGCGTGGGGTGTGGCTGGGCCGGTTATAAAGCCTGGCTCCTAACCCTCGCGGGCCACGTGGTCACAGGAGGGGTCCCAGTTGGGGTCGGCGCCCCGGCTCGGGATTTGTTTCCCAAACATGGTTCCCGCTCACATGCAGACAAGGGGCCCGGGGCCGGAGCCCCTGGCCACCAGTGTTCCCACAGGGACGCTCCGCCCAGGCTGCCAGGCTGTCCCCTCGCCCCCGAGGGCGGAGGCTTTCTTTGTCACGCGTTCTGGGCCCTGTCTGGTCCCCATAGCCTCCAGTTAATCATTGAGCCAGGCCAGGCCTGCGGACGCCCCCCTGTTGGGGTCGGGAGGGGGCTGCGGTGCTCTGTGGGTACATGACCCCGAGACCAGGCGGTCGGCTCGCCGGCGCTGGAAACGCTCCCCGTCCTTGCGGGCTGGCCAAGGTCAGCCGGGAGCAGCGTGCAGATTCTCCTGCCCGTGTTTCCCCGAGCTCCCACCATGGGCTCCAGAGCAGGCTGGGGGGACGGTGGGCGCTCAGACCCCACGGCCTCCGTGCACGAGCGGAAAAATGGTGACTTCGGTTCAGGGGGCCGCGTGAGGGGATCCGGGCGGCACCCCCTCACGGGGAACCCCTCACGGTGGCCTCGGGCCAGCCGACCCTCACGCGTCCCCCTGGTGTCCACAGGGCTCAGCGTCTGTCCTCCAGCGCCGGTCCCTGAACGAGGAGTACGTGGAGGTCGGCCGCCTCGGGCCCTCCGACTACTTTGGTGAGTGGGGCCCCCTCCCGCGGGAGGCGGGCCATGCCCCGGGGTCCCGGGAAGGGGCCCGAGGTGAAGACCTGCAGGGCCCGAGGGAGGGGCGTCCACTGACGGCCTGTCCTGGCTGCGGGCTATCCCCCGCGGGCAGCCTCCCACGGTGCGGGCTGGCGCACACCACGCGCCTGCGGTACACGGGGCCCGGACGTGACGCTGCACCGAATGTCGGATTAACTCGAGCCAGGGCGAGCGCGTCCCCGACGCTCCGTGGACGGACTCGCACTGGAGTCACCTCTAACCGGGTCCTGCGGTCGGTCCGGTTGGCTTTGTAAAGCCGGCGGCCCCGCCCGTAGGCAGCAAGGGCGCCGGGGCCCTGACCCGCACCCTCGCCCCCAGGGGAGATCGCGCTGCTGCTCAACCGGCCCCGGGCGGCCACCGTGGTGGCTCGGGGGCCCCTCAAGTGCGTCAAGCTGGACCGGCCCCGCTTCGAGCGCGTGTTGGGCCCCGTCTCCGAGATCCTCAAGAGGAACATCCAGCGCTACAACAGCTTCATCTCTCTGACCGTCTGAGCCCGCTGCCCGCCCTGCCCGCCGCCCCAGCCCTGCTTCCCGTGATGGCGTGCTCGTCCGTGTCGGGGAGGCCGCGGCATGGGCTGGTGGGGACTGTCTCCCTCCAGACTCACGTTGGAATAAAATACTCACCTGGGCATTTCAGAAACGAAGGGCGGACAGGACGCTCCCGGCCAAGGAGTAGCCACACCCCTCCCCACACACTCCCCTTCTTCATCCCTTCATCCTTCCCCACGCCTTTTGGGGGACATAGGAGCATGCCCGCCCTCGTGGCTGTAGGGGTCCAGGGTCCCTGTCTGGTGGGCTGGCCGGGTCCTCCTGGAGCTGACAGGAGGGTGAAGGCCACTTGTCACCCTCCCGTCCAGAGGCTGGTCAGGCAATGACCCCGTTCCCAGGGCTCAATGATGTCAGGTCACCAGGTCTGGAGTGTAACGGGGCAGCAATGTCCAAGGGGGTACCCCACGGATTAGGGAGAAGGGGCTCTCCCGGCCAGTGTCCTGTCGAAGATGCCAGGGCTGGAAGAACCTCTGCGTGACAAGCTGGGCCTAGCCTCAGAGAGGACGGAGGTCCCAGTCAGCTTCCGGCCCGGTGGCAGGGGACCCCACACAGACGTTTAAAGCCCATGTCGGGTGGTCTGGGAACGCTGGCCAGTCTGCCAGACAGTCAGATCCCGCCGTCGGCCTCGCTGGGCCAAGACGGGGCAGGAAGGAAGCACTGTGTGAGTCTGGGGCTTCCCAGGACCCCGAGCACCGTTCCCTCAGAGTCGGGGGACCCCAAGCAGCATCTATTTACTTGTTCCACAGCTTCTGGGAGACCTTGCGAGGGAGAGGAGGGTTTTCTTCAAACATACTCTGGGGATTGTCAGAACCAGAGTCCCCGTGAGTCGCCCTCCAGCAGACCTGCTGCCCTGCACAGGTCTGAGCTCGAGTCTCCAGAACCAGCCCTGGGCCCCACACACCCCAGTCACCGACCCATCGAACTCCCCTTTGAACACATCCTGATCCAGCGCCGCCCCGAGCCGGACCGGCCTGGAGGGGCGGGGCCAGGGCTGGGAGCCGCGTGGTCCCTTCTGGTGGCCTGAAATACTGTCGAATTGTGCCGTTCACCCAATTCTGCTCCTGCCCGCGCACGCCTGGGCCCCAGCAGCCCCGCTGCGGCCCGCGGCTGCCTGTGACGCGGGGCCAGCCCGTGTCGCGACATCCTCCGTGCTGCATGTGCCATTAAACGTGCCGTGAATCTCCTCTTCCCGACTCGGCCTCCCATTTGCTTTCCCTGTGGTAAAATCGTCACAGCACGGAGCCTGCCGTGTCAGCCAGCGTCAGTGTCCAGGTCAGGCCACTCGACACTCACACTGCTGTGCAGCGGCCACCACCGTCCGTCCCCGTAACTTCTTCCATCGTCCCAAACTGAAAGTCCGTCCCCATTAAACTAACTCCCCGCCCCCTCCAACTGTCTCTGCGGAAACTCATTTTGATAATATATTTTGTTTTATCCCATCTATCCAAAATATTATCATTTCAACATGTCATCAATACAAAAATTGTTAGAGACTTTATGCTTTAATACCGAGTCTTTGAAATCACGTGCCTTTTATGTCACGTGATTTCATGGCGTGCGAGTCACATGCACATCTCAACGCGCGCCTTCGTGGCGCTCGGTGGCCATGTGAGGCTGGTGGGCCCCCGGGCGACGCGCGGCTCCGGGCGAGGTGCTAACGCTCAGGCCTGGGCCCAGGTCGGCTGCTCTGGCTGCGAGTCTGCTGGCTGCGCCATCGCAGCCTCCGGTGCACGTGGGGCTCCCTGACACGGGACCCGTCGGCGTGGTGCCGAGTGGCCCAAGACCGGGGAGGGCCTGGCCAGCACCGTGGGCGCCCGGTGTGTTTGCTGAGCTGCGGGTGCGGCGGGGAGGTGCAGGTGGATGACTCCGGGTGGGATGTCAGGCAGGGGCCCAAGGACACGCTTCGGGGACTCAGCACTGGGCCTGGAGCATCCACCTCGTCTTGCTGCAAGCCGGCTCCTCAGCCTTCATGGCTTAAAGCCGCACGTCATCTCACAGGGTGGGGCGGGGCCTCCCGCCCTGTGGCCCTTGGTGGGAGGTCTCGGCAGCTCCCCATGGCCTCTCCTGGGGATTCCTCACCACAGGGCTTCGAGAGTGCGGGGCGGCTGCCGTAACCCATGACCTAGTCTGAGAATCCACAACCATCTCTTCTGCACGTCCTCTTCATCAGAAGCAGGACCCCAAGTACGGCCCACGCTCGGGAGGGGACTGGGCCGTGTCCTCTGAAGGGAGAGGTCAGAGAATGGGGACGCCCCTGAGGCGGGCACTCCTGCTGCTGGGTCTCGCTGTCCTGCCGGGCAGCTCGGGGCTGCGGGGGGTAAGGGCCTGCGTCTGGGGCGCCTCCTGTGCCAGGCTGCGGTGGACGTCGACACTTACAGGTGAAGGGGAGCGTGTTGGGCTGCGAGGGCCCCTTTCACAGGTGGACAGCTTGAGGCTGGAGAGGGTGGCCCTTGCTGGCTCCCGTCCACCGTCCAGCCCACCCTCTCGCCCTGGTCTGCGGGCCTGTGCCCAGCAGCGCCTTCCCACCGGCCTGGGCAGCTGGGTCCTGGGGTTGGCCTGGGACCAAACTGGGCCACAGGAGAAACGCAGCCCTGCAGGCACACTTCAGACTCCCACCTCCAGAGTTTGAGCCACCGAGTTTGTCGCACTTCATTGCAGCGGCCACAGAGGACTCGCACCGAGGCCCCACTGGGACCGAAGCCAGCTCTGCCTGTCTCAGTGCCAGGCTCCACCACCTGCCCGTGCTGAAGCTCGGGGCCTGGGTGCTCCTGCACCGGGTGGGCTGGGCGGGGGCAGGGTACGCTCCCTGGAGGGCAGGCTCTGGTCCCGGCTGCTGGCCTGGCTGGGGTGGGCGGGGCCGTGGCCGGGGGCCGCAGGAAGCCTCTGCGTTGCCCGCTGGGGCTGCCGTGGACTGGAGCAGCACCCTCCCCAGCCGGGCACCAGGCGGGCACAGACCCGGGCTTGTGGGGCTCGTGAAAGCACGCCTGTGTGCGCCAGAGACGACAAGCTGAGCGATTGTTCCTGCCCCACCGCGGCCCCCGGGCCAGTGCCAGGGGCGCTGTGCAGGCCGGGCGCCGAGGGCCCTGGCTCCTCAGCTGCCCTGAGCTGGACGGGGCACCGGTCCTGCCCTGCGGCAGCTTCTGGGAGGGGTTGGGCGTGGCCGGCGACCCCAGGAGGGCGGGGGGAGGGGCTGCTCACTCCCTTCCCAGGCCGGGGCACTGAGTCGGCCCCGTAAATATGTGAGTACATAAGAAAGTGAATAACCTGGGGGTCGGAGGGGGACATTTTGGGAGATCCCGGCTGGGGCTTGCACAGGCCAAAGAGAGACCTCGACCGAAGGCTCACGCTGCACAGAGCCAGCTGGGCAGGCTGGCAGCCGAGCCGTCGTCAGAGGCAATGCTCAGAGCTCCACTCGTGAGGGGAGCTCCTGAGAATTAAAAACGTCGCCCAGCAAAGGGCCCTGTGGAGAAGGTGACGACCGTGGGGACGTCGTCAAGCGTGTGTCCCACGAAGGCGCGTCTCACACGGGGAGCCCTCGGAGCCCGACGAGGACACGGACGGGCCGGCACGGGAGGCCGCACGGTGGCTCGGACGTGCGCGTCCTCGGCCGCGAGGGAACGCGAACCACAGCCGGGGAGACGCCGGCCGCGCCCGCGAGGACGGCCGTGATGACCGACGGTGACAGCGCTCAGTGCTGGCGAGGATGCAGTGGGGGCCGGCGGCAGACGGCAGCCCCGCGAAGGCAGCGGCTGCCGTGCAAACAAAACCGAGCAGAACGTGCGGCCACCATCCCACCAGCTGTCACGGGCGGGCGCGCGGCCCCGGGGTGTGGGGACACGCGCACACGACGCCCGTGCACAAGGGGGGGTGGCCGCTTCACCTGCTGAGCCCGAGCTGGAGACACCCAGACGCCGTGAGTGTGGGGCCATGCACCACAGGACACTGCTCAGCCACACAAGGAGCCGTCCATCACCCGGCTGGGCGGCGGAGTCAGCGGGCGGCAGTGACTCACCCAGAGGTCAGGCATTTCCCAGCTGGCCCCCGGCGGCCAGGCCCCACTGCATGGGCCTGGGGAAGGGCGACGCCTTGTCCGGGAGCCCCTCAGCACTGGCCTGCTGGTCAGGCGGATTCGGGGGTCCTGGGCCCTGCTGTCCAGAGCCTTCCCATGGCCACCGCTGGCCACAGGGCCTCTGTTCTTGAGACTCAGCTCCAGACCGGCCCCCGAGGTCTGCCCCAGCCTCGGCAGACGGCAGCTCATCCCGCGCCTCCAGGCAGCCTTTCCTATGTCACCAACCTCATTGACCTCTTGGCCTCTCCTGCCTCCCGGGCTGTGAGCGACTTGGGAAGCTGTGACTGAGCTCCAGTCGGGCAGGGCTCCAAGGCCAGGGAGGCTTCCTCCTAGCCTCCTAGAATCCGGACTCTTCTAGAGCCTCTCCTGGGCCTGGAGACCTAGAACCCGGGGCACGCCTGGGGGCCACCAAGGTGCTCAGAGCCTTTTCATGGGCGTCGCTGGCCCGAGGCGGAGCTTGCGTGTGTGCTGCGGATTTCTCAGTCTACGTGTGGGACTTGCGGCCGTGTAGAAGGCCACGGGGTCTGTCTTGGCTGCTCCGAGCAGGGGCTTCGCGCCAGCTCCATATTGTGTCTGCCTCCAGGCCAGAGCCCTGTGTCGCTCCACTGGAGACGTCCCTGTCAGCCTCCGCGGTCAGGCTTTCCTTGCCTTCTGCAGCCGGAGAACCCCGGCTGGTATGCTCCAGGACGCCCTGGACGACGGGCCTGGCAGACCCTGCACTCCTGCGCCGTGCCCGACCGGGGTGGGGTCGGCATCTGGCGGGCCGGCCGAGGCACGACCCCGGGCTCGGTAACCTAACGGGCCTCGCGACCCGGTCCTGTTCCTCGAGTGCTATGCCACCACAAGTCCCTTCTCTTCTCTGGGCCTCGACTGGCTCGTCCAAGGGGTGGGACTAGTGACACCACCTGCGCCCAGGTGTGCCGGTGAAGCGGGGTGCGGGCACGGGGGCGGGCAGGCCGGGAGCACTTGCTCGTGCGATTCTAACCACGTCAGCATGCGTGAGGGTTACCCGCCCTGCCCCGGGCACGCGAGAGACAGGCCCATGTGTCCGCACCCTTTCCTGCAGATGGCCTGGCGTCTGGGCTGCAGGGTGGCCTCGTCCCTGCCCCCAGCCTGGAACGCTCCCCTCCCCGTCCCCGCCCTTCCTGCTGCTCATTGGGCCGAGCGGCTCCCTGGGGCTGGTCTCTGAGTGTGCCAATGAGGGGCGCCCAGGCGCTGCCAGGGGCCCCCATTCTGCAGAGGTGACACATACGTCCTTGGTCCCTGCAGCTTGCCCTCGCCGTGGTTTGCAGTCGCCTGTAACATCACTGTGAAACCTCGAGACATAAAGAGCCAGCTGCGTTCTGCGGGTGAGGACTGTGACGGGCCCACGGTGTCTGGGGGTGGGGGGACCGCACAGCGGGAGTGTCCCCGTCCTTTGTCCTGGATCCGTGCGTTCCTGGCTGGTGTGGGGCCAGCAGTCAGACTTCCCACTTGGTCCGGGGCTCAAGGGCCAGCTCTTCCCGCAGCCAGGACCAAGTTGCCAGCTTGTGCGGTCCAGTCCCAACAGTCACGCCGTGTCACCGCCACCAGGGTCTCCGAGGTCCCGGCCTACCTGGACTCAGGGAGGGGACACGGACCCCACCTCTTCATGGGAGAAGTGGCAAAGAATTCGCGGTCGTGGTTTAACATTGCCACTCGGCTCGGTTTCCGGGGACACGGTCATGACCCAAATGAGCTTTGCTCGGAGTCAGCAAGCACATGGTGCTGTCCTTACGTGTCTCGAGGTCCTAGGGATGGAGACCCCACCTACAGCGGTCCTGCTGTGGACACAGACTAGCTCCCTGGTCCACGTCAGGACGTGTCTCCCCCAGCACAGGGACCTCGTCGGCTTGTGCACAGCTGTCCCCCGGCTCCATATGCACAATCGGGACCCAAACGTTTGTCGAATGAATGCATGATGGACTCTAAGCCCCCAGAAAACCTCGCGGGGACAACTTGGATCAGAAGGCATTGAGCTGCTGTGCCGAGGAGCCCCAGGCTCCTTAGCCGAGGTAGGGAAATCGGGAGCGGGGTCCGGGGCCATCGCCAGGTTGCCGTGGGGATGCAGGAGCCAGGGCTGGAACACCGCCTGGGCCCCCTGGCCCCACGCGGGTCTTCCGAGCCACCGGAGTCAGAAGACGTCCATCACGCTGCTCTCGGTGAGACCATCGTCACTCCCAAACTCCCCCGTTACTTACACGCTTCGGGGGGGCCCCCGAACCCCGAACCCCGGGAACACCTGCGTTTCACTTTTCCTATAGAGCAGACCGGGTGTCCCACGATCTAGATGTCCCAGTGTAAGCTCTCCACGTGGTGTGCACGGGCCCTTCTCCAAGTGGCCATGGGGAGGGTGGGACAGCGGCAGCCATCCTGCCCAGGGGAGGTGGACCTACGCTGCCCCCAGCCCGGCTGTGGCCACGCCCTGGGCACTGGGCTTCGGATGCTTCCGTCTGGGGAAGCCCGAGGGCCAGTTGGGAGGTGGGGCCCGTGGGCAGTGGCCAGACCCAGTTCCCCGCCTCCCCGAGCTGGAGAAGGGCTCTGCCCAAGGTCACTTCCTCTCCCAGCCGCGGGCATCTCGCCCAGAGCAGCTGCCCAAGCGCTCTGCGCCTGCCACCCCCACACCTTCCGGTCCAGGACTGGCTGCCTCTGGCTTCCTTCTGGTCACCTCCACGGCCAGGCGCAGTGCAGGCCCCTGGCATCTGCCACCGCTCCCGCTGGCTCCCACGCCCACCTTCCCTCCTCACAGTCCGGCCCCAGACGGCCGAGAGCCACAGACATAGCAGCCAGGCCTTTCCGGCCCCACCCGCCCACCCACCTCACACCTCCCTCCCTGCAGCCCCGACCCCCAGGCCTGAGCACCCCGACCCCTCACCCTGCCTGGACCCACCCTCCCCCGGATCCCCACCCGTGACCCCACTCTGCCCAGGACTGAGGGACACTTGGCATGGCAAGAAGCCACAGAGGCGCCTCAGGCCTGAGTGCCGGACGGCCCCATGGGGGTGGGGGCAGCCTCCCCCTCCCACTTCAGGATCAGACTCCAGGGCAGCTGTGGGAGACCAGGAACCTTCCAGAATGAAATGCAACCCGCCTGTGGGGTGGAAGCCTTCCTGTCCCTCGGGCGGGCAGTGCTCAAGGAACAGGGCGATAACTGCTGGAGCCCCAAAGAGTGCTGGGGTGCTGGGGGCGGGAAGGGCAGCGCTGCTCTGGCCCCGGCCAAGGGGTGACCTGGACAAGGCTGCTTCCGCTCCAGACCCCACGCTGTCCCTGTGACCTGGGGAGCAGGGCAGGGCGGCAGAGACCCTGGGTCCGGGACCTCTGGTTTCTGGAGGAGCAGGAGGGGGTGTGGTCACACCGCGACTCCAGGCCCTCAGGGGCCCCCAACACCTGCATCTGCATCCTGGCCAGGAAGCCCCTCGGAGCCCAGGCTGGTGGGTCTCGCTGACCTCAGACCCTGCCTTGCGGGAGGCCACCAGGGTGTGAGCCTGGGTCTTCACTGCTTGTCCCCTCGCTCAGCAGATCTCAGCAGCCCCAGTACCTGGCCGGATCTGAGAGGGGCTCCGGGGACCCCTCCCCATCCCCTCCGCCCCGCTCCAGGCCCCACTGGTGCCGGGACACATGACGACTGAGAGGAGCCTTTGCTGCCAGGAGAGCCCGGGCCCAGGGCAGACAAGGTGTGGACGCGGAGCGGCCACCCGCATGCAGCCTCCTGGCGTGTGGAGGCGGAGCGTGTGCCAGGCCTGCCTCGGTGCCGTCAGGCCCGGTCGCTCAGAACCCGCACGGCAGCCACTGGGGCCCGTTTTCTAGACGAGGCAAAGGGGCTCGGAGAAGGGACGAGAGCTGCCAGGGCTGGACCCTCAGGCCTGGGCTGGGCCGTGGGGTTCTCACCCGGGCCCCCCACGCCCCCCCGCAGACACGCACCTCCCTGTTCCCGCCCAGGTGTGGTCTCTCTGCCCAGAAGCTGGGCTGGGACCCGGGCCCGCCCCCGCCACCATGGCCTGTCACTGCTCATAAAACCTCTTGTTTATGGGTCGAGCCACCACCCCAGGAGGGCCAGCCAGGTGGCCCTCAGAGGGCGTCCCCAAGCAGTGCTGCAAAGGGGCGGAAGGTGTGGGGAGGCAGTGTGGTGCAGCGGGCAGTCACCTCGCCGGTGGTGGCAGGCTGGGCCACACCCCGCCTACGTGAGCTTGGACAGTGGCTGGACCTCAGGCCGCTGTCCCTCCAGTGCTAGCCCCTGCTGGATTAGGAGGCCTGGGCAGAGCTGAGCAGACCCTCATCTAGGCCTCCACGGTCCCTGTACGGTCCTCGGCCCAGCAGAGACCTGTCTCTGAGGCCACCGGCCCGTGCACTGCCCCTCCTAGGCTGCGAATGAGGGAGAGCAGAGTGTGGCCCAGGTTCTGGCACATTCCACTGAACATGCTCATGGCGTGTCGCGCTGACCCACCATCATCCCTGGGACTGCAGTCTCAGTGGTAAGTGGGTGGACGGGCCCTGAGCTGCTGAGACCACTCAGCAGGGCAGTGAGGCCACACACACAGCAGCAGGCCCCAGATGTCCGGCTCCCACGGGCACAAGGGCGGGTGGGGGGCCCGGCCAGGGTGGCTGAAAGCGGTGAGGGGCCAGCTGCAGCAGCGGGCGTGGGGTCCAGCAGGGGGCGTCCCACTGGGGTGCTCTGTGAGCCCCTCAGCCCAGGCTGCACCAGCTCCAGTGGGTGCCCACCTCCAGCTGGGAGGGCCTTCCAGGGCCTGAGGGCACCCCGGTGTGTGAGGGGGTGCAGGCAGGGGCGCAGGGCCCGCCGACTCAAGGGAAGCGCAGCACCCTGCCCACTGTCTGCTGTCCGTGGGCACGACGGTTCTCCTGTGGGACTCCGGCCACCTCAGCACAGCTCCTGGGCTGGGGCACCGGCTCCGGGGGTGGCAGGTGAGAGACGTGGGGCTGCCGAGGGGGTGCCCCGGGAAGCGGGTGGGAAGGGCAGGACGCGCGGTGGCGAGGGAGGCCGCCTCATGTGGACTCTGGCCTGCTCTCCACACCTGTGGGCCACACCCTGTCCAGTCCTCTGTTGGGGCCACAGCCAGGGAAAGGGAGACTGTGCAAGCCACGGGGTTGGGGGGGGGGCTCGGGTGGGCAGCAGGAGGGACCTGGGCCACCACAGAATGCCGCTCTGGGCGAATCCCCGCCACCGGACGAGACCCGAGTGGGTGCGTGTCTGGGGGAGATGGGCCCCCTCCTCCAGGGAGGCCGCCAGGAGAGCACGAGCCCTTCACTCAGTCCCTTCCTGAGCGGGAGCCCCAGGAAAACAGTTGCAGTGCACAGAAGGTGGGGTTCTCTGTCCCGCCCCCACCCCAGCCCCTGGCTCAGAGGGGGTGCTGAGACCTTGCCTTTCTCAGTCTGGGAGGGTTTGGGGAGGCTCTCGAGGAACCCCTCCCCCTAGCTCGAAGGCACTGCCACCCTCCCTGCCCAGCCTCCTGGGTGACAGGGAGCCCTGCAGATCCCCGGACCAGGCTGGCCTGGCACAGCTGGGTGGGGAGCGATGGGCTGGCCACGGGAGAGCAGGGGCGGGGAGCAGGGGGAAGAGGGGAGGAGGCCGGGGGAGGGGAGGCTGAGGAATTGAAAGTGCATTCCCGACAGATGACGTAGCTCTGCAGCCTGGGGGGGGGCGATGCCCTTCTCTGGAAGGTCCCTGGGATCCCTCCCTCAGCTCCCCACTTCCCCCCCCCCACAGGGAGGTGGGTGGGGCCAGGCTGGAAGGAAGGAAAAGTCCAGCCTGGGCCCCCCACGCTGGCTCTGCTCAGATGCCACCTCCTCCCTGAAGCCGCCTTCCTTCCATCCCTCCTGGGGGACCTGGGGTGCCTTTGGGGAGCCTGGCTTCGTCCCGTCAGACGTGGGCTGGCCCGGGAACTCGTGGGCAGGGCCTAGGGGGCCCAGCAGACACCTGCTGAGTGCCAGAGCTCCAAGGCAGGGCCCCAGGGCTGTCGGCTGTCGCTGGCTGGTGTTGGGGCCCTGGGGAGGCATGGCGGGGTGGGGTTCCCCAGCACCACCCCCCCAGGCTGCCAGGGCCTCTGAGGGGACTCGGCCGGGCTTTGCTGTGGACTAGGCAGGCACTGGATGTCTCCATGCTCCCTGTGCACCAGGCATTTTTCTAGGTGCTTCTGTGACTCCCCATTCACGCCTCCGACCCCTTTCTGTGGGACCGCCACCCGGTTTCTCAGCTGAGGCTCAGTGGGTGCCGTGCGTGCCCCCCCGCTGGGTGCTGAGGCTGCCCTCGGCTGGGCAGCAGGCAGGCCCGGTGTGCAGGGCGCTCCCTCCTCAGACCCAGGCTGGTGGCAGGTGAACCGGGGTCCTGGAGACAGGGACAGTGGTTCTGGGGGGACCTTCGGGAAGGTGATAAGCCAGGCCTCTGTCCCTACGTCCACTACCAGAGGAATGCGCCCCCTTCAGTGAACAAGGCCTTGCCCAGGCCTGAGTCAGCTTCCTCCCCAGTCTGGACGACTCGGCCACTTGGGGGAGGCCGTGTGGCTCCTGACCCTGGGACTCGTCCTCAGAGGCCGAGGGGACGCTGTACTTCCCTGTACGCCCTCACCAGGGCACCTCGGCGAGGGAGCTCGTGTACCCCTGGCGAACACCCTTGAGTCGAGGGGCAGCAAGTTCCAAAGGTGCCCGTCAGGCCTCGGCGGCCCCACCGACAAAGCCACCAGTTACGCCACTTCAGACTTCCCGACAGAAACAGAGATCATCAGTCTTTGTTGCTGTTTTAATTTCTCAGTCTCGGGATGACTTGTTATGCAGCGGTCGCCTCTGGAGACGGGGCCCAGAGTGGTTCTATAACTCACCCGCGGAACATGCCAGAAAGAGGTGGAGCCTGGGATGGGACCCAGTCACCCGGGCACCGAGCTGCTCTCTTCCAGGGTCCCGCTGCCGGGCTGGGGTTCTGGGATCTTCGTTAGGCACCTTGCAACCCCGAGGCCTCAGCCTGGCCGCACCGAGCTGCTTCATGAGGGGGTGCGGGGGAAGGAGCTGCAGAGTCAGAGGTCCCGTGGCTCTGTGGGCCTCCGACTTCCAGGACCTCATAGGAGGCAGGGCGGGGCAGGCCTGGGCCCTGGCTGGCCCCGGGCCTCGCCAGCAGAAGCATCTAGACTTCCGATGGCTGCGTCTGCTTCTGCCCACGTTCGCTTTGCCGGAGGAGGCTGGTGCAGAGTGCAGAATTATTTATAACGTGTTATCTGCAGGAACAATGCTTTGTAACTTGGGGCGGGCCCAAGACTTGTGAAGGGTGGTGCTGCCAGGACCCAGGCCACCACCTCCCAGGCCCTGCACACGAGGCTGGAGCTCTTCCAGCATCTTCTGGTGGCTTCCTTGTCACAGAGCCATTAGGGTGACTCTGGAGCAGAGAAGGACCTGGGCTGAACAGTCACTGTCCTGTTGAGCACAGACCCCAGGGCAAGGGGACAGTCGTCCTGTGGGACGGGGTGGGGCTGGGACCTGGATGGTGGTGTTGAGATGGGGACCGGTCAGGTTTCAGAGACCCTTCGAGGGTTCCGTCAACAAGACGTCCGGGCAGGCGGGAGGAACGTGTGCGACAAGGTCCGGGTCGGCTCTGAGACCACTGCTCTGTGCCCCCAGGTGGACGGGGTCTCTGGCTGGCTTGCAGAAGGCCTGGGGCCGTCATGGCCGTGCTCGGGCTGACCTGGGCATCCACTGGGGGGGTGGTGCTGAGTGGGTGGTTAGCTTTGGGGGTCTGGGGTTCAGGACAGAGAGCCAGGCTCGACTCACCAGCCTGGAGGTGGCATGCAGCTGTGAGACTGTGTCGGCCTGCCGGGGACGGAGCAGGCGGTAGGAGCCGGCCCTGGGCTCGCCAGAGAGAGGGGGCCGCTGGGAGACGAGGAGCTAGCAAAGCGGACGAGACCGGGCAGCCCGGGGGACGCAGCAAATCAGGAGTGGGGTGTCCTGGAAGCCAGCGAGGGCAGCGTGTCCAAGAGGGGACGTGGCACCGGGCCCCATGCTGCTGTTAGGTCCATCGGAGACCTGACTGACCAGTGCCACAGTCTCACGAGCCCCTGGGGGGCTCGACAATGGGCTGGGGTGTGGGTTGGACACAGGAGTGGGCATCTGGCCCTTCCTGGCCACGGACAGCCTTCCGAGGAAGAGCTCCGGTCTTGGGCCAGAGCCACCGAGAATGGGGCTCTTTCTCACTCCGTGTGGATGAGGAAGCCTAAGCCACTTCCTGTCACCATGGGGGACTTGGCTGGAAGAGGACGTTGCAGTAGACAGGACCACTGAGACGGAGCGGGACGCTTGATCAGACCGCTCCTGAGGCCGTGTGCATGGGCCGGCCAGGCCGAGAGGCGGGCGAGCCGCTTGTCCGTGTGTGTGTGTGTGTGTGTGTGTGTGTGTGTGTGTGTGTGTGTCCACCGCACCTCCGAGGGGTCGCGGCACGAGGGCAGGGTCAGTGCGGTTCACATGTGTCTCCGGTGCTGAGCACAGGGCGCACACGCGGTCCAGCGGGCACCCGATAAGTGTTTGTCGTCGAATGAGTGCGTCTTAGGCACCGTCAAAGCGGGAGAGACAGGCTGAGTGATAAACTCGCCCAGGGTTTCAGCCAGCAGGTCTGGAAGTGACTCTCCTGTAGATCGAGGCAGGGTCGCGGGTGCTGGGCAGTTCTGTCTTGGATTTCTTGGGATGAGGGGCGCCCCATGACCTTGGCAGCACTGAGGGGTCTGGAGGGTCAACAGGAGCTGCTGGCACAGGGCAGAGGGTGGCCCCGTGGGGCTGTCCCCCAGCCCGACAGGCATGGCCGTGTTCCCTGCCCCACCTGGCCCTGCCTGCGCCCCTGTGCAAGGCCCTCGGGGTACGGCAGAGGCGCCCGCTGTCTGCCCGCCGTGGCGCGGTGTCTGCACAAACGTCGCTGCGGGCAGCCGTGTCTTTAACGAGACGGGCGAGCACGGTCTACCCTCGGCCTGCGCCCGGCTCTGTGCTGAGCACCTTTGGCGTCACTTGGAGTGACCCAGCGGGCAGCTGCCCCCACCCTGTCAGTCCCCTGCTGGCTTCGAGGCTCGGAGAGGCGAGGCAGCTAGCCAAGGGCTGCACGGCCAGCAGGTGGTGGCGCTGTCCCCACAGCCGGAACTGGTTCCTCTGGGCCTCGGCCTGCCCTCCTTGTCAGCGCCCCTGTGACGCCCAGGGGTGGGTGCACAGTAGGTGCTCAGGCACCTGAGGCCCTTGTGCTGTCCCCAGGGGGAAGCACCTGGCTGCAGAGAAGCTGTGGGCCTCTCCCACACACCTGGAGGTGGCCCTCAGGTCACAGCAGGACAAGGGGAAGGTTATCTGACAGGACTTTGCTCTCCTGCTGAGAAAAACACTTCTCCAGAGTCACAAGCAAGGAGGTTTTCCAAGTTCACTCTCCGCTTGGCCCGAACCCTCCCTGCCCCCTCCGCCTGTCGAAAGGGCAGATTGCGTGTCCCCAGGGAGGAAGGGGCTGCAGGGTCCCCCAGAGCAGAGTGAGCCCGCGCGCGGTGCCCGCCCCTGCTCTGACTGGCCAGGCTCGTGGTGGGGGGCTGAGGGCAACCCGACAAGTCCTAGACTTGGGGTCCAGCCTGGCCCATCGGAGCTCCGTGCCCCCCACCCCAGGCCCGTGACATGCAGCCCTGACGCTCTGAAAAGTGTGGGTCCGGGTGGGAGTGAGGGGGCCGCTGCGTGTCCCCTGCGGAGAGAGCAGAGGCGAAGGCTGAGGGCCCAGCGTCCTGAGGCCGCTCGCCCTGGAGCCCAGCAGCCACGCGACCGGCCACGCACCCTGGAGCCCAGCATCCTGAGGCCGCGCACCCTGGAGCCCAGGATCCTGAGGCCGCGCACCCTGGAGCCCAGCAGCCACGCGACCGGCACCCGCCCCCGCTTCCTCGGGCCGCTTTGCGCTGGGCCCTTGTCACAGCAGCCAGGAGTCCTGACGCCTACGGAACTGCAAGGTGGAGGTGGCTCTGACCGTTTCTCTGCGTGACGGGGGCTGCGGGTCCCCCTGCCCGGCTTCCTCCGCCTGACCCTCTGAGCCCGCGGACGTGGGCATTTGGGGGCCTATCTGAGGTCACGTCCCCACACGCTTAGCACGGTGCCACTCACACAGGACACGCATCTGTCGAAGGGCCACCGAGCCGTGAGGTTCCCTGAGGGGCCCCATCTCCATTCTGCTTGGGCTCCCCGGAGGGGAGCAGTCACGGCCACAAATGCGGGCGCACTGGGGGGCGTCGCTCTGCCTCCTACTCATCTCCCCACCCCTTTATCTCCCGCCCCCTCCCCTGCCTGGCTCTGCTCCCCTTCTTCTCCGTGCTGCTCTCCCATTCAGTGTCCCCCCACCCTCCTCCCTTCCCCGTCTCCTGCCCCACCCCCCAGGCCTGGCCTCAGGGAGCCACAGTCCATCCCCAGAAGGTGGTGGCTTCCCCGGGCGGAGCCCACTGAGGCCCGTCGTTGCCTGTGCCCTGCCGGCTCCCGGGGTGGGGGCACCTGAGCAGCACATCATGGACTCCCGGACACCAAGTGAGAAGAAGCTGGCCTGGCGGCCACGCTCTGACCGCTGCGGATGGCACTTGGAGGACGTGAGCGCCCGGGCTCGGCCTGGGGCTGCTGGGCATGAGCGCATGGAGCAATGTCACTGTCCACACGAAGGCACCGTCTTCCCAGCCGATGGCTGAGTGGACACGGGGCCCGAGCACGGGAGAAGGGTGGACGGACGTGTCTGATCACGGTGGGTTTAGGTCGTTTCCAGCCTTTGCTCTTCCAAGTTGCCCTGGACCCTTTGATGGCTGTTGTGTGTGGGCCACTTACTCAGCCAGGTCCCCAGCCACAGGGGCACAGGGTGGGGCCACGGCCACCCGACTGGCTCCTGACAGCCGCCACGGACACCAGCCCTGGGAGGTCAGGGGTGTCCCCGGCCCCTCCTACAGCTTAGGTTGTCTGTCCCAGAGACGGCTTCTGTCCCCTTAGGATAAAAGTCCACATTCCTTCGGTCCCAAGGCCTAAGCGACCTGCCTACCTCTCTCATCTCCCAACAGCCAGCTGGCTCCTGCCCCAGGGTCTTTGTGCATGCTGTTACTGCTACCTGCAAAGCTACATCCAGGTCTTCCCCAAATCGGCCCCGTGTCACATAGGCCTTCCTGACCACCCCGGAGCCCTCACCTGACAGCACTCGCTCATCGTTTCCCGAGGCCGTGGGCGCCATCCTGTGCAGTCCCCCAGTGCTCCGCACAGTGCCTGGCACATGTGTTTGTTCAATGAACGAGTGACTACTTCTTGAAGCGCCCTCCGAGCTGGCCGTTACGCAGGGAAGGTGGCCCAGCGCTAAACGGCCTGCTTGCGGTCACACAGCGGGGAGGCTGGGCATTACAGAGTAGGAACTGACCCCTGGCCCGCTGGTCTCCAGGGCTCTGCTGCCTTCTGGGAGGAGGCAGCATCCCCCTCCGCCCCGAACTCACCTGGTGAGCCCTGCCACGTAGATGTGAACTCTGGGTGTCTATACTAGCCTTGTCCAGCAGAAAAACAATTTGAGCCACACATGGCATTTAAAGTTTTCTAGTAGCCACATTTAACAAAGGAAAAGCAAACAGGTGAAATGAATTATCATCACATAGTTTAATCGACATATCAAATGTTGTCATTCCGACATGATTAATTGATATAAAAATTACTAATGAGAAATGTTAGGCTCTTCACTTCCACACAAAGTCCTCTAAGACTGTGTGTGACTTAACCATCCAGCACGTCCCAGTTCCGACCGGCCACATCTCCAATGCCTGATGGCCACCCGGGGCTCATGGCTCCCGGACTGGACAGCCCAGGTCTGGCCTTCGATTCTTGAAGCTACCGAGTGTCCGACGATGTAGGTTTTCACACACAAAATATTAAAACATTGATTGTGGGCTCACATGCTATTTTAAACTTCATTTCCAGCTGCATATTTAGAAAAGAAAATAAAATCATTTAATAGGGAGTTTAAAAAAACGCTGAGCTCGACCTCCCTGCCTCTTGGCTGTCTTCTCCCTTTCTGGGGAGCCTGAACTGGAAAGGCTTGATCCCCAGCTACTGGGGGCCTGGGGCGCCGTAAGGTAATGACTTAATGAGCCCCTGTCTGGGCACTTTTGATCTTCAGGGAGCAGTGCCCACCTGGCTGAGGCTGCTCCAGGGTTAATTGCCCTGATCCAGGAAAGCCTTGCCCAGAGATAAAGGACTGCAGGGCTCCATCGTGACAAATTGTTTTGCGATCTGCTCCGGCACCAGTGGAGGCCCAGGTGTGGACGGTCAGCGGGCCCCCACCCCTAGGACCCTGGCGTGGGCAGATGGGCAGCGGGCTCTGCAGGTGTGTGTGTGTGTGTGTGTGTGTGTGCGCAAACACGTGTGCATGCTGTCTCTCCTGGGCAGGACGGAGACTCTCTGTTGGGGAGGCAGCTCTGCAAGGGGGGAGGGATGATCCACCTCCATTTTCCGGATGAGAGAACTGAGACTTGGAGCGGTCTAGGGACAAACCACACCAACAAGGTCAGGGTCAAGGGGCACATGGCAGCCAGGCCTGGCGTGCCCCTCCCCGTCCCTCTGCACTTTGGGACTGGGGATCGGGTGTGGGCTCCAATCTTGCTGCCTTTATCGCTGGTGGCCACATCATCCTCACACATTCGTCTGTGACCTGCGGGACAAGTGCCACCTAATTCCATCCTGTGCCTCAACAGAGCATGTGCGCAGCGGCCCCAGCCTGTCTTCACTGCTGGGACTGAGGGCATCCGAATGCTCCGTCTAAGAAATGGGGGCGGGACGTATCTTCACTGCCGGGGTCTGTGTGAGTGACACGAAATTGCATGAGGCCGAGATGACTCCCACGGTGAAGTAACAGTGTGGAGTGCCAGCTGGTGCCAAGCCCCTGGCGGAGTTTGAACGGGGTGAGCTGGCGTGTAGGGTGAATGCTGGCTGCACACCACACAGGGCGCTGGGCTCTTTGACAGGCCCCCTCCCTCCTCCGAGGGAAGGACAAGGCCCTTCCTGCTCCTCCCCAGGCCGGAGGGAAGCAGTCACCTCAGCTGCGTCTATTTGGAACACCTGACTCACGTAATTACGGGCCTGCGGGCACGTGGGGGCGCCCGGGACGCCGGAGATGGCCCGGAAGCACCGGCTCCGGCTCCGGCTCTGGGGGCGACTGGCCCTCCCCGCCGCCAGGTGCACCGTCACCTCCCACGAGCACCCCTTCAGCCGGGAGATTCCCCTGCGCCCCCTTCTTCCGCCGCGGCCTCGGGCTGGCCTGCGGGGCCCGTGCTCGCCGCCTGAGGTCTTCACGCGCGGAACCGGAGTGGGCGTGGCCGCCTGGGTCCCGCGGCGGAGCCCCGAACGCCGTGCCTGCGCCTCCTGACTCAAGTATATTTAGCCTCATTATCGAATGTTTGCAGTGAACCGTGTGAACCTAATAGCGGCTGGAAGTGAAACTCGATTCCCAGGCAGAAAGCAGCACGTGACCGCGCCTAAGCAGGGGGATCGCCCTGCCGGCGGGGCGCGGCGGTGCCCCCAGAGGCCTGGCCCCGCGCGGAAGGCCACCTCTTGCAGGGAGCATCCTGCACCCACCTCCTCCCGCCGCCCCTTCTCTGGAGGCCGAAATGAGGGCGGTGCTGAGAGGGACCAGGGCCCGGGAGGGGTCCACGCAGGAGTGGTTCTCATCCCAGCTGGTGACCTCCTGGTCAAGGCAGTCCCACGGTCTCCATTCCCAGATCTCGGAAGCAGAGCTTCTGCCAGTTTTTCTCCGAGGACGGGGAAGAGTGGGGCGAGCTGGGTTTGGGGGGCCCTGTCCCACCCCGGGCGGGCCCGGGTGCTCTAACGCGCGTGGTGCGCCCAGTTCCCCCACGGAGGCTCTGCGCCCTTGCAGAAGTTTTTGCCACCCTCGCGCGGCCGCTGTTGTCGTGGTCGCTATGACGACGCGCCGAGGTTTTATTTTTAATAGCGGCCGGCGATTAGAGAGAGGGAGGCCTGCGCGCTTCCCAGCGCTCTCCAGTCCTGGGGCGGGGGTGTGCCGGAGCTGCCCCTGCTCCCCGCCCTTGCTCTGGCCTGAGACTCCAGTCGGAGGCCCCCCTTTCGCATCCCCAGATCTCCCCTGGCCTCAAACTCGAACTGGGCGGCCCTAAAGTGCCAGACTGGGAAGGGGCACAGTCGGAAGCACCCATCTGGGCTGCTCAGTGGTGGCAAGGACCCCCAGGAGTCAGGGACCTTCTGTGCAGAGCTTGGAGCCAGAAGGGCCCCACCTCCTCTGAAATACAAGCGACCTTTCCTCCTTCGTTCCCACACCTGCTATCAAATTGAGTTCTTTAACCCCAAAAAAGTGTCTTTGCGTCCCCTCTGCCCGAGAGGAATCCGAGGCCCGACGGGGTGATTCAGTCAACTCTGGGATAAGTTGGGGACAGCTTGGACTGAGTCCAGAGTCCTGGCAGTGAGCAGTCGGGCTGCCTTCCAGAAACTACCAGTGGTCCCTCTTGGAAGCAATAGAAGGTTCCACCTGGACGGACAAGGACTGGCTTTCAGGGCTTCCAAACGTCTCCACGCTTTCCCTGGTTCGTTCTCCCTCGGCCCTCCACTCTGAACTGCCCGCACTGCGCTTGCGTGCCGTGGTCGCAGCGGCGTGGGAAGGCTGCAGGTGTGGAGGCCTATGGAAAGGCGGGGCAGACCTGGGCCTCTGGGAACCGCATGAGAAGCTCCCCACCACTCCCGCCTACCTCCAGGTATTTGGGGGAGTGAGCGCCCCGAGGCCCCTCCGAGCTGGCCTTTGAAATGCCAGACGGCCCCACCAAGGATGAAAGGCCGCCAGCCGGGCTGCGCCTGTACTGCCTCTGTCCAGCGGGGCCGTTGGGGGTGGTTGGCGCAGGCGGGCGTTATTCTCCTCTGCCACCCCCGCCCCCACCGGGGAGTCTCCTGGCCTCCAGGGGCTTCGGCCGTCTAACATTGGGCTCCCTGGCCCGCCACGCCCCTAGCTCTGGTACCAGAACTCGTCCGCCCCCTCGAGGCACCGACACTGGCGGGCGACAGGGCCCTAAGCCCGGGTCCTATCCCACCTGGTCTAGGGGGGCGGAATCCACCCAGCCCGGGTGCACCCGCCCTTTGGTGGCGAGGGAGCCGTCCAGCTGAGCTCAGGCCTCCCGCTCCCCGCGCGTCCTGCCCCCGCATCGCGCTCTGTGCCGCGCCTCGGCCGCAGGCGGCGCTCTGTGCGCCCGGCGGATCCCGACACCGCAGGCTCCCACTCCGAGTGCCTCACGGGCGGCTCCTCTGTCTCTTCCAAACCCTTTGAGTTCCCGGCTCAGGCCGCAGACCGGCCTTCCACGAGGGAGTGGGGACGCGGGGGACGCGGGGTCCCAGGGTGGGGACGAGGCACGCTGCAGCCCCCTCCTCCGATCTGGGCTCTCTCCCATCGGAATGTGGGTGGAGGTTCCAAATTCAGACGCCCCAGGCATCGGATTGTGGGCGGGGGCGCGTGGCAGCCGCCAGGTGAGTGCCCCAGACTCGCCCCTAAACCCGCCCCACCTCTCACCAGAGACTCACTCCCCCTCCTTTTATGGAGAGGGGGAGGCAGGGGCCCTGAATCCCGACCGCGGAAAGAGGCCCAAGCGCCGCGGCGGGGGGCGGGGGCGGCCTGCTTTTGCCCTTTTTGGCGTCGCAGCTCTGGGCGCTGCCCTCTGCTGCC